AAAAAAAAAAAAAAAAAATCAACAAGAATCTGATCCGCAAGTCATGTACCCAGCCAATCGCCCAAGTCTTGGCAACCATGCATTGCTCTGTCGCCCCGGCCTTCCTGGCCTATGCTGGCCCACCTCTTCCCGTGCCATCTTACTGACCCTGGCCGCCGGACCCTCATATAATTGCCGCACCTCGCTACTGTGAAGGGTTTGGCAGCTCAGCCTTCAAAACCTCTCACGGCTTCCTGCCTTGATGGACTGCTGGGCTGTGACGATAGCGCGCTGGGCAGATGGCAAAGGCCTGAACTGTTCCGAAATTCCTTAAACTAAGGCCAAAGGAGTTGGAAGCTTTGGCTAGAAAATGTTGGGAGTGGAGAGCTTGGCAAAAAACCGTCAGTAATCCAAAGCTGGGTGCTAAGAAAGGAAGCCCGGAGCTTAGGTTCCCGCATGTCACGAACAGTGGGTAGCGGCACCTGCTCATCATGTCTCTGCAGATGGAATCTGCTTGGCCCTATCATCCTGGGAGCTGCTTGCCCAAAAAAACGATTTGCTCGTGCGGCTTGCTGTGTTGACGGCTCCTCTCATGCCAAGTGCATAAATACTCACTTTTTTCGAATGTAATGGGGCCAGGAGGCCAGAATAAACAAGCAAAACAAGAACGATGGAACCCATCTGTGCAGCCTCGGCCCGCTGCAACCAATTCTTTAAGGCCTCGGTCACCAGCGCTTGTACTGTCAGGATCTAAGCCACGCAAAAGGTTCTGTCCAACCTACAGGCTCTTGTCATAGAATGGCGAGGCTGACGCATGTGGCCCATGCCTCTGCATGCTTCACTTCAGCTTTGTTTTCCACACTGGGGCTGTCACCACGTATGGCTCGCACTCCTGCAACCATGGCATACCATGGCCACGGCTTGCAGGCTCACAACGTCCACTGGAAAACAGTAAGAGCCTCCAGGACATGCTTTGCAGCCCGATGGATAAGTAGAAGGTAGGATCGGCTTGCAGAGCCTGACGGTTTGCGGTGCTACAAATAGCACAAAGGCCACCGAGGTTCAGAGACCTCTCAGAGCCTGACTTCCACCTGCCATGAAATCAGACCTCCGCGGCATGCTGACTCCGAGCCTCACTGCTTTGGATGGAATCTGGTGTAAGAAGCTTAGACTAGCAGCACCGTGCTCTGACCGTTGACCCGATGACCGGAAAGGCACTTACAAAGGAAGCAGCATTAAGGCCAGCTCGCCTGTGTTAAAAGATCTGCCACATCCAGACCTGACTTGCGCACGACAGGCATATCCTCACTAGGCTGATTGCAAAATGCCTGGACTGGGTAGGCGCGAAAGATCTGACTTTGTTGAGGCTCCGTCGAGCACCGGGCCGCACGGCATCTTGCGTCAGGTCCTTGTCTCGCTCTGGCTGACAGTCGTGCAAGGCCACGATAATCGAGCCAGCACCTTTTCTACTCGCGGCGGACAAGGCAGAGGGCCACCTCTGAATGGTCAGTCCAAGGGAACTGGTCGAACAGGCAACTGGCTTGGATCCTGTGCAAGTGTCAGCTTCTGAAGATCTCAAGTTCTGTGATCTAAGTGCCAGGGGGTGCTTGCAACATTTCGTCGATCGGCCAAACGTCGGCTAGTACATCCCCTGCATCTGTCCATGCACAATAACGAAAAAATGTAGCAGCTTTTCATTGTGTCCGAGGTTCAGCACACCTTCCGGAAGTACGCATGCTAGAGGCAAGTTGCTTGCTTCCTTCCGCAGTGCCGGGTCCTGTGGCTTTGTAGCGAGTCAAGATCACGTGCCAATGTCCTGCAACGGATACAAACAAAAACTGGGAAGCCTGGACATGCAGGGCAGTAAACCAAACTTCAGCTTCAAATCGGGTCTGATCCCCCCCAGAATCAAATGAACATTCATGCTCACCACAGGGATTCAGTCTACAAATGTCTACAAGCTCAAGCCTGGGGTTGCAGGAGACATAAATGAGGCGCTCGAAGTTCTGCACCATTTTCAGGGAACGGTTGTCCAAACCGGAGCCTTCAAAAAGCCAGTATCTGAGACCAGTCCGCGATTTGCCGAGGACACTTCTACACGGATGCCTAGATCACTTCCGGTATTATCCCTAAGCCCCTAAGCAAGCCAGGAAGCGTGGAGGATCTACAAGTACTGTCGAGAAATCGTAGGGCCCCACAGGCTGGATCTGGCTCTCCTCAGTATTGGCAACGCTTGAGAACTTGAGAATAGAAAAGGACCATGTCCGTCCCGAAGCGGACAGTGCTTCGCAGTGCTATCGGACGACTTTCGGGTGCAGGAAAGTGTTGCAAGTTGCAAGTAAATGTGTCTGCTCTGCCCAACACGCCGGCCAAGCCTTCCACCCGTGTGCTGCCAAGCTTCCAAATCCAAGCTCTCAGCACGACATCTACGAAAATGCACGTTGTCGATATCCTGAGAATGCAGAAGGAACCAGACCATTCTGTAACAGCCTTCGTTGTCGTCCCCCCACCCCCACCCCCACTCCCACCCCCCAGCACCACCACTACCACCCCCGCCGCGGTCTCCGCGGCAGGCAGACGGCAGCAGCGAGCAGCACTAGCACTAGCAGCAGAAGCAGCAGCAGCACTGCCCGGCTGCGACCACTCACGCTACCGCCAGCAACAGCAATAACAGCGATGACGGCACCTCCTCCACGGGTCATCTTTCGCACAGGAAGAGCATGCCGGAATGATCTGCCATGCATTCGTGTTCCACTGCTATGTATGCCAGGGGTCTGCTCTCTTCGCACAGATTGATGCCCCTCGCACTGCAGGCTCATCAATCTCCGCGGCTAATACGCGGCGAAAATTACTTGCTGCAGGCAAGGTGAAGTTCCCATTTCCACAATACCTGAGTAAGCCCTCGTTCGCTTGCAAAAGCCGGCTACACGGTAGGAAAAGGAGCTACATAGGAGAAAAGCCAGCCAGGGCACATTTCCAAAAGATCGCGTGCTTCTTCCCCTTCAACCTGCATGTGCCTCGTAACCCAGGATTGCATCTCCCGATTCAGCAGGAGGTTGGCCTGGAAGAAGCCATTCTCCATGAGCCTCGAATGGAAGCCGTTGTCCATCGGCTGAATTTTCCGAAAGTCATGGACGCATGTGATTGCTTCGATAGATTCCGTAAACCCTTATGAGCTCGGAAGTTGCACCCCTGTGGGGCTTGGATCTGAATCTACTGTGCGGGATGCTGCCACCTCAACCATCGATTTGTCAATACTTCTGGGAAAGACTTGCAAGCTCGCAGCCATTGAGGGTAAACTTTGCCCTCGATCTCATTCTCCTGCGCCATGCTTCGCGTGGCTTGCTCTAGCAATTCTGCGGGGCATGCCGAAAAAAACAATCCAAAGCGTGTCCTGCATCTGAAACCTTCACAGGGAGCTATACCATGATCTGGAAAGAATCCAGGCGTATGTTGTATGTTGGCTTGCTCAATGCACTTGAGCCTTTGAAGCCAAATACAATGTAATTGGTTTTAAAAGCTGAGGCCTGCATGTTGGGCTTGCTGCTTGTGGGTTGCTGTCTTTGCAGCTTGCACAGCATGTTCTTTTGTGTGAAAGCGGCCTGCACCAAGTAGCTGCGTCGCGCTGGCCAGGCGAGGCGTTGGCCCTTGGCCTTGACATAAAGCTCCAGAAATTAGCTACGACCTTGTCATTCCTCAACTGCTGCCGAGGGGCCCGGAGAACCACTACCGCATCCAAGGCGGCCGCGGCCCGCTCAGCCCGCAGTCGATCGCCTGGAGACAGCGTCCTGCTAAGCGGCCCAAGCGCCAAGTAAGAAATCCACAAGAGCTGTTGGGATTGCCGACTACCATTGGACTGCCAATGCGCCTGTGGTAAAGGATGCAGGCCAGGGCTTCGTCCCCGGTTGTTGAGAGGAGCTCGACCTGGAACGCCTTCCTCCGAAGCCTCGGAATGCAAAGTGTGGCCGCTGATGCAAAGCCCTGTTCCATCTAGCTTCTCTCAGGTTCTCTCCTATTCCTGTCTTCGCTTTGACGGCACTCCTTGCCCTTACCCAGGCAACGGCCATCTCCCGCAGCACTTGCTGCAGCGCTTCGTGTGTTCTGAAACAACTCCTTTGGAAACAGTAATATAATGTCTGTGAAGTTTCCAGAGAACTTTTTTTCAGAAACGTGGCCTTTCAGGCAGAATAAGGTGTGCAAAGCAAATTTATGTGCTCCTGGTTGCGCGACTTTTCAAAAGATCTTTCAGACTTTAGAAATGACCCCAAGAAGCAGAACATCTGAGGGCTCGCCATTGTAAGTAATCCAGCTAGCAGTTTCTGTCTTGCATCGTAGATTCCGTCTGCAACATACGCTAAGAACTCCTGCTCCACATAGATGCGCACACACAGTCCGATAGCAGCATGAATTCGAGGCTCGGTGCGGCAAAGTCACTCGTGCTCTCGTGCCAGGACGGCACGCAAATCCGACATTAGCCGATTAATGCGATGCGAAGCCAGTGGATACTCCTCAACCTCTGAAATGACAGCAGCACTGTCAAATTTCCATCCTCGAATAAGTTATGTTGGTAACTGCCACCTTCATTTGGCCTGACATTCATCACGGGACTACGTGTAGGTCGCATCCAAACCAATGCGGCCCAGGTAGCGGTCAGCCATTCCATGCTGCTGGGGTCGAAGACTGCATAGTGTACCTACCAAATGATAATTGGCGTGGGTCTTGCAGTTGCACCAGCGATGGGGTGCTTTATAATACAGCGCGTCACACTATCTAATCTTTAACACACGATGTACAATACGAATCGAAGGCTCCAGGGCGCACGCAATCACCGTCATGCTGCAACTCGAACTTCACCCGGTGCCGGTAGTGGAGTGGTTCGGGCGAGGCCACCACTTCCAAACCTGAGGAGACTCTCAGCTAGACTTAAGTGACCAGCCTTCACCCCTCCCTCTCAAGCACATGCAAATCCCCAATCTTTACAGCGTGGCAGGGAGGCGCCGCCAATTTACAATCTGGAGCCTGGCCTCCGGACACATCATCATCCTCCAAGCGCCCCGCCAGCAGCTTCCGTACTGCGGCAGCCTGCCCACATCTCTCTTGCGATAAATTGTTGTTGCAACTCCGAGTCCTCTGTGCTAAACATGCAAGGGCTGTCAGTGCAGTGATACTGGTGTCACGATGTGTCGGTACTGACTGAATTGCGAATATATTGTGCCCCATTCGACGAAAAAATGTGGATGTGAGACAAAAAAGAACATGGGAATACCCTGAGTGAACAAAAACAGAAAGGCCATTAACATTCGCCTTCTCAGCTAGGTCGTCAGGGTAGTTTGCTGGATCTGGAGCTGACAGGGGAGGGCAGCGCGGTGGTGGCTCATCAGTCTCCGCTGCCTCACCATGGCCATTTTGGATAGCTCTGGCCCCTTCTGGCCCCAAAAAGCTAGGCCCCGTGCGCCATTTGTTCGGCGCTGGCGCCGCCGCCAGAAACGTCGCATCTCCTGCTGTTTGCAGGTTGGGAGCTGGAGACTCGAGGCTACTCATGTCAATAGCAGCGCAAAATGACGAGAATCTGTTGGCTTCTCTCTTGGCTCCTTCTCATGGCCGGACTTGGAGACTTCAAGTTCGACGTCAACCTCCGACGCTCGACGGCGGCACCCACGATGTGTGCCCTGCCGTTGCAATGACCGCCATAAGGTCTGGAACCTCAAGATCATCGCCACCATCATTATCACCAGCCAGCAAGCAGTTCGGATCTGCAATGCAAATACCAAGACAAAACAGGCATTTACACTTCTCCAAGGTCTCAAGCAAACCCCTGTGCTTGTCATTCCGTTTGCTGGCAAGGCACGACACACCCCATAAAACCAAGGGCACGTGAGGCGAGAATTGCTGAGGCATCCGAGGCCAGTGGTTCCCGAAACTTGCATGCCTGTTGCCCGGAAGGCTAAGATCAAGCACAGGCTGGAGGCGTGGCTGGCTCGCGGCTGCGGCACCCAAAGCCGCCATAGCGTCCCATCGTGTGAACTATGGGCGCTTGGACTTGACGGTTACTAGTCGGGCCCTCAGCGATTGAGAGATTCTAGCTTTCGCTTCAGTCTAGTTTGATGACTCTTATGCGCACGATGGCCCCGCCCATCCAGACCTCTTGCAACACTTGTTGGAGCTCTGGGTCCAGCAATGGTGGCTCACAGACTGCTGCAAAACCTGTGAGAGGCCATCAGCATCTTCTCGCCCACTGAGCAAGAGGCTTCAAGCAACAAGGCTGCGGCGTGATTGACTACGTGAGCGCAATGGCAATGGCTGAAGTGAATGCAGCAATGAAAGCCCAAATAATGGGAATCGATTTCTGAGGCAACGGGGGAGCATGCCAAACGCGCTGGTTGTGGCAAATTTGGCTTCAATGACAGCAATGCCAGCCAACCGGGCATGCACTTGTTTTGCCGGTGCTGTGCAGCATGGCCAATCGCTGGTAAATGGCAAAGGCCTTACTTAGACCGGAGTCTGCAAGGGCTCTTTGCGCCTCACTGCAAGACCAACGTGTTTTGGCTTGCTGCCAGGCTGCATGTCGAGGCAAGTTTTATAGGAACAGACCCTCGACCTCCTCCAGCATGCTCAAAGTTCTAAACGTGAGTAAGTGTAAACTTGCACACCAACAGTCCTTGAGCAGCTGTGGCCATGGGGCTGCATCCGCCTTCTCCAAGGTGAGCACCTTGCCCAGAAACCCGTATGCTTGTAGTGTCGGCCACAGCGGTGCTCCAACATCACATGCTACGTGTCGGACAACGGTGGAGGTTTGTGTTTGTAGGCAAGCTTCAACTTGTCCGGGTTTGCCCATAGTCCAGGAACAGCCATCCACCTCCTGAGCAACTTCACATCTTGTATCTGCTAGGACTTGCTCAGAACATCCCTGCCGCGCGGCTGCGCAAGCAACACGTCCGTTCTAGTATCTATGAAAATGAACTGATTCAAGCCGCTTGTCCCAACCGATCAATATTGGTCTTGGACTTTGTGAGCCTTTTCGGCACCGCATGCAGCTGAGGTTCCACATTCTTGAACAGCTTTAGCGTAAGTGAGGTGGGCTTGGAGACTCGCACCTGCACGAAAGCAAGCAAAAAAGTTAGGCGCTTCATTGATCCATGCTTTGGATAGAAACTCCAGGGAAACTACGTGAACTAAGCAGCATGAAAACAGTGCAGCCGCGGCCTCCTGACGGCGGAATTCAATCTTTACCTGATGTGACTCCGCTTCAGCGCGCATTGTGCCAGCATGTGATAATGCTGCATTTCAAATTCCACGATAAATGAGTGCAGTGTTGCTCGTGTCGTGTCTCCGTCTCTCAAGTCACTCATAGCATCCACCCCCGCGTCTAAATGGAGGTCCTTCGCCATGCAGTCAGGTGACATCTCTCTTGCTGGTCGACTCCGGCACGTCCAGAAGCACTTCTAACTCCTCGCCGTCATCCTTCCAAACGTACCTTGGCTTGGCAGCAAAACATTCTACACTGGACCCTCTCAAAATGACATCGCAACCTATCAGCAAGCCACCTTCGCACGCAAGTTTGCGCATGGCAATGAAATGAGGCTAAAGGGGGTTCCGAGCCAATGTGCGTTCAGCTGCTGGAGGAGGGGCCTTCAAACGAGTATGCAGTCATTATTTCAATAGTTGGCCTTTAAAGCCAAATAGCCCATCACCCACGCCCTCGGCGCGTTGATCGGGGTCGCCGCCTCAGCTGTGCACACTGGCTGCAAACTGGGCTGACTGTGCAATTCTCAGCTTGAGTTCTGCAGCAATGAAGCACTACTAGATCGTTGCTCAGTCAAGCTAGGCCTGAAGGAGCCGCTTTAGTTTTTTTTTGTTTCTGTCCAACCCCCTCCATCCCCTTCCCGGGAAGTGACGGTGGGGCAGATGAAATGGGGAGGGAGCTGAGTCCTGATGTGGGATCGGGGCCTCGTTGGGGCCGCAACAAACCCTTCGTGAGCTGGCGGGGTCGTCATCAAAGTGTTGGGCAGCCTAACACTGAGTAGTTCCCCTTGTAGCAGTAGCAGCAATAGCACAGCATGTGTTAGCACTAGTGCTCGTGGCAATAGTGGCAGTAGTAGGAGGACAAATACTAGTAGCAATGGCAAGACTGGGAGGGCGGGATTAGACCAAATGTGGTTATAGGATGCGTCCAGCAGCAGGATTTGCTTAACTTCGCCAGAGCTTACAAGACTACAAGCGTTACAGGGGAGGAGAATACAAGAGCTGATCAAAGTAAACCCAGGGATCAATGGGGGCTAGGGGAAGCGTCCAGGACCGGGATTTGCCGAAGTATTTGCAGGCCCTGGCACCAGGGAAGGAAAACAGGAGCGGGATTTGATTCTAAGGAGATCTGAGAAATTTGACAGGTCGTCGTGTTGTACTACTAGCAAACATCGGTTTTGTGATTTAGAGTGGGACGGGGATTGGTGGTGGTTTAGCGGGGTTTCCGGTGGGGTTGGGCCTCACCCCCTCCCACCACGCACACGCGCTGGCCTGGCAAAAAGTGGCTTGGGGAAGTCCATGACAAAATTTCTGGCTAGGGCATGAGTCCAGGAGCGAGATTTCATGACATTGGGCAGGGGTTGGGGCTAGTCCAGGAGTTCGATTCCATCATCTTGGGGAGCGCTTGGACGACTACTAGAGCAGGATTTTATTAAGTTGCGCCTCGAAGCTTATAAAAATTGGAATGAATTTGCTTGAGCTTTGAAAGACTCCAGGAACTGGATTTAGTTTGTTGGGCAGGATTTCAAGAGCACAAGAGCAGGACTTGATCATAAATTACAGCCAGTGGAGGCTCTAAGAGGGGGATCTGCTTAAGCTGGGCAGGGCTTAGAGGACTAGAGCGGGATCTGGCTACAATGTATGCATAAGGGGATTTGATTAAAGTGGGCACGGCCTGGAAGACTAGTGCGGGACAAAGTGGGGTTAGGGGAAATGTCCAAATAAACACAAGAGCAGGATTCAGTTAAAACGGGCCAGGAAAGAGTCCAGGTTCAATTTGATTGGGCATTCTTTGAAAGATTAGAGTGGGATCTAGAAGGCACTGACAAAAAGAGCTGCTTCAAGTGGGCACGGCTTGGAGGACTGCAAAAGCGGGGATTGCTAAGGAAAGAGTCCAGAAGACCACAACAGCGGGACTGGATCGAATTTTATTGAAAGACTGGACGACACAGATTTGACTGAATTTGGGCTAGGGATTTGATGAAACTTGGCCGGGCTTGCCGGGCTTGGAGGAGTACAGCTGCAGGATTTGATCAAATCAGGGGTAGAGCGCAGAAAAGGCAAAAACAACAAAAGAACTACCCCGCAACTAGCTGCCATTAGTCTTCAACTGGCGCATGATGCCTTTCTGCTCTCATTGCGGCCAAGGGGCCGTCTTGTGCGGCCTCATGTTGCTCGGGTTGCGTGGTCTTCTGGAACTCCAGGTTCTCCGTCACCTGGACGCCCCATGGGGGTCTATCCCTTGGACCTTGAATGGAAGCATGCCGTGCAGCAGAAGTTGACAAGACTTTTATGGTTGGCACTTAGTTGGGGCTAGCTCGGAGCTCCGGCCAGTTGCATTTGACTGCCAAGAGCAGAACTTTCTGATCAGAGCAGCTCATCTAAAGACAATGCCTGGTCGGACTTGATTATTCCCAGTCAAAGCAAGTCTGCAAAATTGAAAGCAATACTAACTGTAATTGCAATAGCAAGAGTAAATAGAAAAAGTCCCTCAGCCTTCCTCTTCCTTCTGAGCATTTCTGAGCTCTGGGCCGCGCGCTGCATCCAGGGCGCCCCAGGCTGCAGCTCTCCGAGGTGGAAGTCTGCATTCTCCACGATGCCGCCCTTTTTTCTCGAGCTCCAGGCTGAGGGTTAGCTCAAACCCCATTTTTGTTGGTAAAGAAGGACACAAACAATCTTGCGCCTGAACGGTTCTTGTTCCCTCTGCCGCATGTCATGAATCTGTTAACAGGGCTTCACCTCTGGGGCAGTTTCCGAAGGATCACTTCAGCAGCCGGATTGGCTTCATCCCTCCACTGTGGTTTGTTGTTCCTCCCTCCACCCACTTGCTCTGGTAAGTCACTACGATCCATTCAAGGGAGTGCAACTCAAACACCACTTGAGTCTGATCACGAACCCGTTCCCTACATGCCGCTCCGCTGACAAGTTGCGTCACTCCACTGTAGTCGCCCAATGTAAACATCACCTGCGCAAAAGCACAACACATGAGTCCAAGTGCTTGGAAGCGAAAGACTTTGCCCTTCTTCTGAATTGCACCACCCAGGCCTCGCAGCCGGCACGTTGAGGGAAATCCACAGCAGCGTGCTACCGCACTGGCTCTCCTCAACTGATACATGCCATCAATGTGTGTCCACTACGCCAGCAGCAGGAACAAGCAGTTCATCAAGTAATTACTCGTCACAATTCAGTCTAGGAGGACCAACCACAAGGACCCCCCATAAGAGTGATCTTCATTCGTGGATCTCCCACATTGGGAGGGTAGTTGACGGGCGGCCTATGGTGGCCTTGCCCCATGCCTGGACTTCAGCACCAAGTTGTGCAGTAAAGCTTCTCATTGACTGCCAGGCCCTTGAGCCTCAGCATGCAGGAGAACTTCGTGAATTTCTCTGCTTTCCAGCAGCTAAGCTCCCAGCTCTGAGGCCTCATCCAGGTAGGCATAGACACCTTCACGGCCATTTGCTGCCTGTCAGCTGGAACAGGCTTCTTGAAGGCCTGTTCAAAGACTTTCATTGCTACCCTGACTTGAGCGTCACGTGACCAATGCTACAGCTCAACGCCCTGACGGATCTGTGTCAGATTTTTGCTGCTTACTGCTGTCAAGACTCTGTCGGGACAGCTAGGCGAAAGGACTCTGCCCGCCCTTGCATGACCAGTTTTCCTTAGATTGCGCGTCCCTTGTATTGACAGCTTACTTTTCATCAAACGCAGTCTGGCGACGCAGCACAGCGAGATCAACACCCGCTTGGCCCTGGCCAGCAGCGTAAGCGCGAAGCTCCTGCGCTTTCGCTGCTTTCATCACCAAGTCGTGTCAATGTTAATTAGGATGGCCACCAAGGTAACGGACGAGAAAGCCTTTGTAGCTGTCACAACTTGCTTCTGCTGTGTCCCGGCCTTGCTCTTTGATTCTAGAATTGCACACCAGTTACGCGCAGGTTGCTCATGGCAGCTGCAGTGCTGCTTTTCAGCTGTCTAGTCGGGACAGAACTTCCAACTTGTGCCCTGGCTGAGCAAAGCCAGGGACTGATGAAGCTAGCCAATCCTAGTCCTGCATGCGAAATCTGCGATTGACACGGCCTCATCGCTCAGGCTGCAGCCAGCAAAGCGGGGTCCAAGCCTCGCACATTCAGGCCAAAGCCGTACTATTTGGGCTTACATCAAGTGCACATGCTCACAGAATAACATTCTCACAGGAGCGGTGCCAGAACCCTAGTGGCCAGCCTATCCAATTTAACACGTGATCAAGTTGTTTTACCCTCATCGTTTTCCCATCAAATATCATAAATTACTAGGTCATCGTTTTGTGTTCCTTTCGTTTTCCCATGATCTGCGCACTCCGATAAACTTTGTCAGTTCTACATAGACCGTAGAGACCCAGGTTTTTGTTCCAGCTCATAGCTGTTCTTGCTTCTCGACTTGACTGAACCATTGAAGCTGCTCACCATCCTCTGGACTGAGCGGCAGTGTGGGGAGCGCATCGCCGTTGCAGTGTGGTCCATCCAGTTCCTGCCAAAACCATGAGCAGTTGATCTGCACAAGCCCCCTTGATTCCAGAAACTGAGATCGTACCTGCACCTGCCAATGGCTAAAGCAGGAATTACAAGAAGTCCGTACAGCTTCAGGGCTTCTCGCGGCGCCTCGCAAGTTTGAGCCTCCGCAACAGGAATCCTGACGAAGATGAAGCTGCGGCCTGGCAGGACTTGGGACAAGCCTGGAGCCTGCACCGAATATCACTATAACGAGAACTCTCAATTCGAAGGACAGAATGAGCCTTGACCACTGGGTGCCGGCCCGCTAGCCTGCCCTGGCTCCTACAGCAAGAAGGGCACATGCTTTCAACCCAAACCCGCTGCAAAACTGCTTTGCAAACACCAACTTCTCTCCTCAATGCGGACTCCCCTTGCACGCAGCCACGCCATGCGCTCTTCTGCGGTTTCAAATTCCTTCAGCAACCAAATCCGTTGCATGGTAGAAGAGCGAGCGTGCAAAAAGGTCGGCGAGCAAGTAGGCCATGCACATGCTGTCACTTGAGCTTAAACACCGGCCTCATCGCCTCCTCCAGCATCTTCCATGCTGCGGATCTATCTATAGATGAGACGTTGCCGCAGCAAGCAATTCTGCGTTGGTGAGGTGCGGCTTGAGACTTTTTGAGAACACTGCATTCCATGCCAGGATTTGCTGATGCTCAATCTGCCCTTGCGGACAGGGGTCATTTGAACCTTGCATGAGCGAGTAGCCGAATGACTGGCCCAGCCAGACAGCCAGAATTTGATCCAAGGGGTTGCAGACGTCATTTGCGGCGGGCCAAGCTGCGCTTGCAAAACCCTTCTATTGACAAACCCGATCTTTGTCTACAGCTACTTATCTGCTTATCCGAGGGCGCGACCAGCAACGCAAGCAAATGGTTTCCCAGCACTCTCGAGGACCCATTGTTGGAGAGCTCGTAGAGCCTGGCAGTGCGAGAGGGCTGTGCTCTCTCCCAATCTTCAGTGCATCTGGATCATGCAATGTCTTCAGGAACTGCACATATGAATTCAGAAGCCAAGCTGGTGGTGCACTCCCTTCAGGAACAAGGGCGGCTGCGACACCTGTGGCTGTGTGTATTGAGCACAGGTAAACAAACAATATTTCCAACAGTGTTTGCAAAATTGCCATAGCGGCGTGCTGAGTTCCTAGTTTGCATCCTAGCGGCTTCTTAGCACGAGGCACCAGCAGTCTCTGGAGTTTAGCTGGCATCTTTCTCGCGGTCGAGGGTACGAAAAGGCAGGTGCTGCGCCAAAGATGTTGCGCGGGTGTTCCCACATCATCTGCGGCTCGCACTGTCATGTGCTTGTTAAGTTTAAGCAGTGCCTATGTACGAGGACAAGGCCTATACGCAGGCGCTCCCAACTGGCGCGGGCGTAAAGCCTCCATCCACATCGAGCAGTCCGAGGTAACAAGCCGGAGTCACTTGCTCGACAGCCCCCTGCATCCTATGTTTCGACATCATGCAAAGGCATTGTAAAGAGGGTCCGTGAACCCAAACGCAGAAAATCATAGAAATGGTAAGCGCTGAAGGGCTGGCATTACTTGTACATAACAACTGCTGAAGCTGGGTTTCAATGATTTGGGTTTGGGACAGTTTGCGTGAAACGTCTTGGAGCTCTCTGGCTCTCCAAAGAAGTTCTCCCAAGGACTTGAGTTTAGCTGGGGAGCCTAGCAAAAAATGTCGCACCTCTGCATTTTACAGATCTTTCCAAAGCTACCCGATGGCTTTCTTCAACCTTTATCAAGAAAAAGCAGCGTCATCAAGCCAGCCGCCCTTTGACAGCTGAGCTAGCTCTCCGCTTGCCCCAGCTTAATCTGACAAGTTAAAATCTTAAGGCACCACACCCGAGTCTGGAGCCGCAAGAGTGGGGAGAAGCATTTAGAATGACATGTCTCTAAATCGCAGCTGTGGCAATCTTTAGCTTTTGCGGCTCTTGTCGCGAAAGCTGGCCAAATTCTGAACTCTATAGGATGGTCTGCAGGCCCATGGCGGCTTTCGCTTGCGCCGGCATCAACGGTCCGAAGCTCTCCAGCTGGACGCAGAACAGTGCAAGCATGCTATATAAGATACTGCCCTGAAGACTGATCCGATGTCTCACAAAAAACCCTTGTGAGTAACTCTTCAGCTTGGAACGACACACCAGCTTTTCACGGCGCATCACTCTCGGGCACGCCGGGGCTCGCGTCCTCATTATCTGGGCCAGCCGCTACACCATCCTCGTCAATGATGCCGCCAACCTCTTGCTTTATCTCTTTCGCAGGTAGCGACGACATAGGCTCGGCTACGGCTGAAGTGCAAAACCGCTTCTTATGTCTGCTTGATTCCATCTGTGTTTATGATGCTTTGAAGATACTCAGGCCTACTGTATGGTAGGGGCACCAGACTTGGTAGGTGGGTGGTGCGAAGACAGGGCGTGCACAGTCAGTGTTACAAGCTTTGGTTGCCGGAGTGTCTGATGATCAAATATGCAGCTCAGCAGCCCATTGCACGAACTTGCCATCCTTCGGCCCAAGTCAAAAAGCTCAAAACTCTCTCTTCTTCTTCGGGCGTTGACTCTCTCCCTCTCTCCCCTGCTTTTGAGGGCTAAAGGGGACCCTTGCAGCCCCCCTCAGGCAACACCCGAAGCCCAGAGAATGTTCATGCGTTCGTGGTCCCTCCCGGGAGGCCCGAAACAGCTACCCATCAGGACCATTCGCAAACTTTACAGTTTCACCCTAACGGTCCCAACTCGGCACTGCTTGCTACTCGACTGGGGTGTGAAAAGGCATATCTTTCTTCTTCTGCTACTGGCTATGCCAACCCCCGAAGGAGCTGGCGGATGCTGGCTGGGGCGACGCCCCACGGCCGCGCACAGGTTCACTGTCTAGTTGGGCACCAGCGAGCTTCGGGATACTGCGAATAAGATTCGCCCAGTATGAGTGTAGAATCAGCTCGCGAACCAATCAATAACAGCCGCGACAAATTCTGAGTTGATTGGGCTTTTCCTATTGGCCTCTCCCCTACCCGAGCTGGCTGTGAAACAGACTCATTCCCGTGACCACCATCGATGGAACCCGTTCAGAGTATTTAGCCACTACACGGGGACATAGCGAACTGGTGATGGCATGCCAACAATATCTACTTAAATCAGATCTAGTGCACCTCTCGAGAGCCAGGGACCGTGCGTTGCATTATGCTACAAGTTCGGCACTCCAGCAGTCTTTTCTTGATGCCGTGCTGCAAGATTACCATGAGGACCAGATACGCACCCTGAAAACTTGCAACCCTTTGCCCTACATTAATTATCTGACTGCTTCTCCCCCACGTTGCTGCTACTGATTCGGCTGATCCCATGGAGTAACGATGGCAACAGCTTACGAAGATTCATTCATACTTCAGGCCCATCTACCCCGCGGATGGAAATCCCTGCCACTCTTGACTTTCTTTTTTCGAGGATTTCTTTTTGTCGCCCAATGATCAGCCTTTTTCATATCTTTCTTTCTTGCATGCGGGCAATGGAGCAGGGCAATGGAGCAGGGCACTGGGCCGCACTCCTGGGATTCTCCCCCATGCCCGTGTTTATGGATTGGTCTTCATGGTGGGTCCCATAAACTCTCCTCTCTCTGGGTCTGGTAAAGCAAGCAGCAGCTAACTGACCATACCAATTCTGTCCTTCCAGATGCTCTGCCGCCGCAATCCCTTGGCCGTGCGCGCTATGGCAGTGCCATGCTGCTTGCCATCCTGGATGCGATCAGGTCATTGCTTTTGAGCAAGTATGTGGCAAGTTCCGCGAACAGAGAAGTACGAGCAGTTGAGGAGGTCCTGGGGTGGGGAAACTTGAAGGTCACGATGGATTGCAAGAAGGATTTTGCCAAACGTTCATATGACCCCGTTCAAAATGCTCTTCATCAAACGCCAGCCTGCCACTGCCCGCTATAGGACCGCCCATCAGGCCACTTCCTTCAGTCTCGGGCTTGTCGTTCTTCAACAGACTCGCTTTCTCAAGAAGTAAAGCCATAATGATTTCATCAGGCCTCTCTTATTGCAAGCATTTAAGCTAAATTCTCAACATAAGATTTCTCAGACGCTTTGGATGACAGTAGCATCTATTTACTCTGAAGAACGCCATATAACGCCATACTCTATGAGCCGCCACGGTGCAGGGTGCCCTCACCGTGCTTTCGGCCATCCTGGAACTCGCCCTGGCCGAACAATTTTGAGAAGTACTTCGATTTTCGCCCGTTTACTGGGCTGTACTGACAGCCCGGTAATTTTGCAGAATCTGCTGCACAGGGACACCTTCCCAGTCCAGAATGCACTTGGGGGCTGTGAAAAGATTCCGCACCTCGTATGTACGACCATCCGACCACCTTGGCTGCTCCTCAAATCCTTGCAAGTGTTGAACCCAGTTACCTCAAGTCGAATGCCAAGCACAGTGCCGTGCTGTTTGAGTGGATCATGTCAAGTGGAAATACAGCCCCAAATTTCATTGCTTCCGCAGCAATTCGTTCTTGCCAAGCTGCCACATCTTCCCCCTGGGCGCCATGGTGTTGCGAGTCCATTGGCCTTGCTGTGAGAATGTGACAACACAAAGCGGTGAGGATACTAGGCAAAAGCTTATGATTTTCAGCCTTCGTTAGGTTTCATAAGATACCGGAGAAAGTCAAGCCCGACGCGCAAGCACAATCCGTGACCAAAGCGTCTCATTTTTTCAGAAACGCAAAGCAACCGGGACATCTACGCACCGTTCCCAGCCTCACTTCTGCCCTCCCCCCCGACCCCCCCCATACTGTTTGCACCCAGCCTTGATCTTGCGACTTGCCATCCCCATGAACCATGTCCCAATCTGCCTTGACCATACTAGTGACGCACTGGTGCTAGGAGTCTGGGGATTAAAGGCTGGGCGTATTGAAGTTGTGCTTCGAGGAGGGTATGGTGCCCTGAGAGGGAGTCATGCTCCATCAAGGCCATCGCAGAAGCTCAGGCTGATGCCCGAGTAGCCACGCCCATCGTTCCAAGTGTAAACCCCCTCGCCATGCATGTCGTTGTTGTCCTCAGCACTGAGTCACTGTTTATGGACATCAGCTGCCATTTGGCAGGAATGGAAGTTCGGAAGTTGCCTGTGTGCTCAGTTCGCGGCAAACTCACCTTCGTAGCGGCAGAGCGTGGACCAAATAAACTTTCCACGCCCATGTTTGGCACCTCCCTCGGAGCAAGCTAAATGTGCGCTCGACATGGATTGAAGGTGGTTGTATGTGTGCAGCGGGGGGCACGATGCGCATGCAAAATGGAATTTACAAGCTGGAAGGTATCCACCCTACACAAGAGCTAGCGTCCAGCTGCAATGAAGTCAGTGGCTCCGCATTCATCGGCCTTGAATTGACCCTCGAACACTGATCCATCGGCCCACTCTTCTTTGCCCTCCCCTTCCTGGAGGTCATCCACCTTTGTCGTTTTGCAAACTCTCATGAAACCGGACTGAACGCCTGACCAAATCGAGCTCCTTCTACCGAGGCCCCAGCCCATTGACCAGTGTACTTGGCACCAGATGGATAATGGTAGATGCCTTTGCCCTCCTTCTTATCATGCTTGAACTCGCCTGAATGCAAACGGGTCAGTGAGGCGCACGTCTCTGACAGCGCAGCAGTTGTACAGGCTGTGTCTGTGCTCTGTAAGGTCTGGAGGGCATCCAGGCTTACGAGTACAGTGCAACTGCTCCTGAAACAAGGGTCTCTGCCGCATGATGGCTATGACTTGGCTATGCTTGGGCTATGCAAACATGAGGCAACCTGAGGCAAGCACCAACATACTTGGAGCCATCCTCACACAACGGCTTCAGGCTGTCAGCATCTGCTTCTAGGCATTTGGCAAATTTGTCAATGTAGCCTACATCTGAAAGCGTCACAGTCCCTCATGCCCCTTGTCGCAAAGCATGCCAGGGACCCCAAGAAGACATAAGCAACACGTGACCAGGGGTTTGTTTCTACATGACGATGTAGATGGGCCCGGAAAAGAAGAGATGGCTCTGCCCGGAGACCCGAAGTCGCCTTCATGATGGAATTGCATGAATGCTTGCTGGTGGTTTCGGTAGCCCACATCAACTGCGATCCTAATCTAATCTGAGACCCCTCTACAACTCTCAGGCCGCGCATAGCCGCGCCTTCAGCGTCAAGCTGCCTTGGCCGTGCTTTTGGCCATTCAGCCAACCACCTTCATAAGTTGCATCGCCGCTGGCAGCCTGCAGCCCATTCCATGCATGTGGTTGGTGCAGTGTCACCCTGCCTGTCAGTTGCAACTCTAATCAGAAGCCCTGTGGAGCACTCACCTTCTTAGAGCCAGTGAACGCCATCACCAGACAAGACCCATTCGCAAATCCCCTGTGCTCGGACGTCTAGGCCCATCATGCACATAAGTAATCCTGACTTCTCTGAGAATGTAGGCCACCCAAGCACAAGTTGCCACGACTTTTGGGCTCCAGTCTTCAACAAACCATCTGCAAAAAGTCCATGCAAGCCGCCTGCGCCCGTGTTGCCCCACCACCGGCGTCGGCCTCAGCCACGCCACCAGTAGCAAAGGCCTTGGATGTCAGGAGGGAAGGCCACTTTTTTCAAAAGAAAATCCAGGGTTGACGATTAGCAGGTTCAAGTTGCTCATGGAGCAAGAGCATTGTTGTTGATGCTCACGAGTTCTGAGGTTTCAACATGACTCTGTTACCAAGAGCTGATTTGATGCAGGGGGGAGAGGAGGCCCATAGAGCCCTGCCCAACAAAGCTCTCTATGGTCATGTTTCCTGGGCACCGCAAATATGAGACTGGAAACTAAATCTTGTTGGGACTGGTCCTTAAGTTCCCTCAAAGTCAATGCCTCGAATTAGGTTGAAGGACTGCACGAAGATCGATTATGCACAATCTCTAATGCTATGGCTTGACACTCAGGATACTGGGCCTTGATCAACCCAGCGCACCTGCAAAAAGTCGCAACCCTTTCCCTTTTTCCAAGATCAGTTTTTCAGGCAGTGGCTTTGTGTGCAATTCCATCTACAGTCAATCAAGACACTACGTGTTTGGGATTCAATATGTCAATGAAATTCGGTCATGTGCTGGCTTGCACATTTCAGGCGTGTCAATCCAGTCCCAGGTTGTGCTAAGTTGTGCATGATCTTTTTGGCTAAGTTGTCATGTACAGTTTCAACAAAACTTGCCACACCAAGTTGCATAGCTTGGAATCCCAGATTGGTTCCAGACCTCCTTAAGACCTTGATGCTCTTGTGATACCCAAGCTGTGCGTGGTAAATAGTAAATAGAACTGATTTGTGGCCGTGGATGGATTCACAAACGTGCAGAAGGGTGGAAAGTAGCTAGTACCTAGAATCTCCAGATTTCATGGTGTGCAGCCACTGTGGAGATGTGGTTCCGGGCCAGTAAGGCAACATCAAAGACAACACTAAGTAACATTTAAGAACACATCTGGCATGCGGGCAGCAGGTACAGTGGTTGCCGCAGCACACCTCTTGCTGGGATGGATTGTCATGGTTGGACGCCCACAAGACTGTGTGATTGTATCAGGGGGCGCTGGGCAAACTGTGCTCAAACTCTGCTGTCCAAGGATCTGCGGCATCATCGTCGCCCTGCCACAGCAAATCTGATTTTGCTCATGACTCATAAACGCAGCCCCACAGGCATCCTCTCAACATGAACTTGTGCGGTCCCAACAAATTAATTTTTTCCAGAAGAACTTGGAACAAAGGTCTCGAAACTTGAAGTAAATAAGATAAAGCGAAACACTATCAGGTTCCCAACCTGCACCAGTCAAACTAGACCAAGTTAAAGCGCTGTATTTAAGGGATTTTGGATAAGCCCGACATGAACCCGAGGTGAAGGCTAACGGTGGAACAAGCCGGACTCAGCAGTGTACAAAGGTGCATCGGCGTCAGCTCAAAAGAACTGCAGCCTAATCAAACTTGTTTGCGGGTTTTGCAGTATTCCCTCTTGTTCCTAGCTATGTCAAAACAGTGGCTTACAACCTCAACAAATGTTTGCTTTTCATTTTGGAGCCATTTTTGGGGGTCGCTTCTTTCGGGTGGCCGTTTTGAGATGCTCTATAGTCTCCTTCACAACAGACCTCCGTACTGCATCAACAAGGCCACCTTGATCGTCTGAGTTGTGACAGAAGGACTGCGATCGCAAGTGCATGGCCCTTGCCCCATTTCGCGACGTCTTGCAGCAAGTAAACAATGGCCACGGTGCTATGGATGTCAACATGCGAAGTATCAAAGCATATGCAGGCTGTGGGTCTAAAAGACAGCACTGTCGAAAAGAAGTTGTTTTCTTGATGCACTGCTTCAAACTGTCTTGATTAACGGCTGCCTGGAGCCGAAAGAAAAGCCCACGACGCGCAGTGCGTGAAGCTTATCCCACATCTCTTCGCCAATTAGCTCTGAGCCGTGACAGCAAGGCAAACCAGTTGACATCCACCGCTCTCTATTGCAGTGCCGGCGGATGAGAAGCTGAGAAGCCGGCCATCATTTCGAGGAGCATCCTCTGGTTTTGTTGAACCTCAGCATAGCTGCACGACGCTGCTGCGTGTGCATCTGCTACCGTAAACAAAAATAGCATTCCTCTGAACAATAATTACTCTGCCCATGCCAGAGAAGGCTGTTTTGATCCGCGCTGTAAACGGCTCTTTCGGCTTCGCATGAGTCGTGGTAGAGCTGCAACGTCTTCTCGAAGCTGAGGCCGCTGAAGGACGCCTCATCTCCTTGGGACGAAGCTTTGCACGTTCTGTTTGCTTTTAAGACTCCACTTCTCACATGTGCTGCGCATGTTAGAGGGAAAATGTTTCTCGGAGCTGTTTGAATGCCATCCATCTGAAACCAAGCAGCGTGAAACGACAGGAATTACTAAACCATCACCATCCTGCACCATGCCGACAAACGGAAATGGCACTTGCACCAGGACGACCCGATCACAAACAAAGCATGCTAGCGATTGCAAAGTTGTTGCCTGCAACATCTGACAAGACAAAGTATTGCATGACAGCGAAGGTGGGAAACACTTGCTGACCTGCTGGGCTTAGCTTGAATGAATCCTCTGCGTTGCCTCGAAGTCGTCCGAAATTGCCTGCTCTTCATCAGCGAGGCGGCCGAATGCTGCCGGGACCTGTATCTACATGACCAGGCTCAAAACAATTTCTTACGGCGAAAAGCCTGCAGAACTGGCACATAAGAATTTCTGGCAACACTTGCTGCACCTGTGATTTGGAGTCATTGCACAAGAAGGCCGCTGCTATTCGCAACAGCCGACCACACCTGCAGGGTGCCATCAGCAACTCAATCCTTCCTCAAGAGCACTCTGTTATGAAATGTCTTAGGCGTCTCTTCTTGACTCAAAGTGGCCGAACTGACCTTGGATACGCTCTCTAAATGCTGGTTTCTTACCACGACTTCTTGATGGTGCGAATTGCTGCGTTCACCCAGAGAGCTTTCTTCTAGTAAGGCTTGCATGAGATCCATCTGAGGACAAGATAATGATGATCCAAGCACAGCGTGCGAAATTTCAACATGCATCGCTGGATGCAAGAAACAGGCACCATGCACAATCAGGCTTTAACTTTAGTTGATGACCAAGGTCTGAGAGCCCAGATCTCCTTACGTTTGAGGAACATACTTCAGCTAATGCCTTAGGCAAGCCCTCCCCACTTGCGGAGCAGCAAGTCGAACAACGTGTTAACTCCAAGAAAGAAGCAGCGGCACAACCCAGAAAAGCCAGAGCGAGCCTCCAATGCTCTATTGTAAGCGGTTCTTCGGGAAACTCAATGTCAGATCTGTCGCCAAGCTCAAAGTAAAAGTAATAAAACCTGAGCAAGAATGTGCCTTTGCAGGACATGACATGTAACTTTGACGCTGCGGTCCGGCGTACTTGCTCAACTTATAGAGCCCAGAGTAGGCTTGGTAGCCCCGCCTTGAAAACCTAAGGCTTGGGAGGACTTCATGCAGCCGTGACTATTGATTGGTGTTGCCAAGGTGCTCAGTTTTGAGTGACTTCCACGTAGCGATGACAGGCAGCATCCCTTTAGGCGCTGCTGCAACAACCTCCAACAATGAATGTATGCAGTGCAATGCAGCGCATGGACGGGGCCAGCCAACAACACACCCATCATCAGCATTCAGCAATGCCACTTGTCAATTTTTGTGCAGGCCATGAAAGGCAGCTAACTTTGCTGCTATGGTGCATCCGTGTCCTGCAATGGATAGCCCTTGTCGATGGATACCTTAGCTTGACACATGGCAGTGCGTGGCTGGAACAGTAGCCGGAACAGTGTGTAGCACTGCATTGGCCAACCTGTTCTCATTCCGCTATACCCCGGCATGACCAGTCGAGCTCGACTTCACATGTAGGTCCTTCCTATCGTTAGCAGCTTTGGGCGCCCCTTGAAAATGCAGCCCTTGTTCACACCGGAAGCTTGTGGCCAGCACATGGGCAGTTGAAATGGCTTAAGCGAACCCATGTTTGAAGAACAAAAAACAATAGGGGGCTGTAGGCGGGAAATGTTTAAATTAAACAGTCTACACAAATTTTAAGACCCGCACATGTTTAAACAAAACCGGAGTTAAAAGGCAAGCTGTTCAAACAAACGCTCAAACATATGTTTATGCAATTTTTTTGCGTTCCTATTCAGGGCTCTTGTCAACATGCTTATTGAAGGCCTTTCAGATGCGTCCTTCCTTATTCAGGAATTCACAGGCATCCTTATCTCGGGTCCCTTATGGGGGCCCGTCAGTATATGAGGTCTATAGAATGATTCAAGCTTTCCTTGATCCACCATTCTAGTCATCCTTCCAGGGTCCGGCTAAACAAGTCTGAAGGAGCTTAATCGAACAGCAAGCAGAATGTCTAAACATGTTGAAACGTCCAAGAGGAAGAACGCTTAAACATGTTTGAACGAATCAGTGTTTAAATCGCCTCCTTGCTCAACAGACCCGTACACGCGTCATGTTTACACAGTTTAAACTTTAAACATGTTTAGCCCAACCGTGGTGCAAACACCTTGCACGGAGGGCTTTGGAGTTCCAAGATGGGGCTTAGTAAGCCGTGCGGGCAGTTTGCCCACACGGCTTTTGGATGAGCATGTAAGTGGTGCGGGCAAGTGGCCCACACGGCTTGTGAATCCTAAGATGGGTTTTTGAGCGGTGCCGGCGGCTTGCCCGCACGGCTCTTGAATCCCAAGAGGAGCTTGCAAGGGGATGCGGGCAGCTTGCCCGAACGGCTTTTGAGTACCTGTGACGAGCTTGTAAGGCGTGCGGGCACCCTTCCCAAATAGCGACCTTCGGGCCATGCCTATGCCGAGCGGAAGGTTCCCGCCCCCGCTTTCAAAGTTATGGAATACAGGCAAGCCATCAAGCCAGCCTCCCACAACGACGCGCGATCTTGAACACCTGATGGGTTTGCAGAGGATAAGCACGTCGTTCAGAAACGCTCCAAACATATGGCGCGCAGGAAAAGATAGTCACTTTACAGCAGGGCTGGATGCAACCTGAATCCAATTGCGTCCCCCTGGCTTCTGTCTGATGCCGGGCTGCGCGTCCCCAAAGCGGCGACAGCTTTTCCTGCACTTCGGCATTGGCAAACCTGCCCAGACTCTTGGGGACCAATCTAATCTTATTGCTCTTTTGTAACTTTACAGGGACCCAGCAAGCAGCCAACAGACGCCGCCTGGACATGATCAATGCCTGAGTTGCGACAGGACCATCTGCTTTTGCGTTCTGCTGGCCGACAGAAGCGTACGCAAGCTGCTCGTTCCTCTTAGGCTAGGACGAACATATCTCGCTGATCTGGCGACCGAATTTGTCCTCAAGGCTTTCTACCAGGTGAAAAAGCAACGGCAAGCTACCCCATCACACCTTGACTCGCTCCTTGGAAGCTCTTCAAATCGGTGACGACGATCCGCGGCATGTCTCTGTCGAGGTCTGGCAGGTCGTCTTCCGGCCAGTCATTCGCGAGCACCTCGCCCAGAAGCCGATCGCATTTCACAAAACGCCATCAATGGCTATGATGGCCGTGATGCTGTTCTGGTTTCTGGAGGGTTTCTCAAAGTACGAGTAGCATGAGTAACTTCTGTTGCCAGACTCAAGCTGTCCTAGCAAATGCCAAAAGGCCGGGTATGGTTTTCATGGGCCAGAAGTCTGCTCAGAAAATTCTGAGAAACCACATTTGCTGTCAACGGCACCTCGACAGGAACGTCCTCGTCGTCCCCGGTTGCTTGTTCAACACGCGGACGCTTGCACACCATCGGCCTGCACAAATGAAACGGATGTCTTCAACGGCAGAAGATTGGTAAAGCACTTAGAACTTTAGCCGTATGAAGGCCACTAACGCCATTCCATTTCCATCTGCTGCCTGCTGCGAAGTACCTCTTCTGCACATGGATCAGCCAATGTGACGGCGTCCACAGGTCTCGAAAACACAGTTGCGACTGGAACCAGCTTCTCTGCTGGCACTTCATCCTTTGCAGTCACCTTCAAGAGGCGGGATACACGAGCAAATGCGAGTACCTTGCCATCAGCAAGCCGATAAGACCAAGTCACTGAATCAATGTTGCTGCAGCAGGCCAGGCATTGAAAATCCATCCATGCATCGTACGCCATAGGCCATAGATAGTCAAATCTTTGTGAATAAGTCAGGAAGTCTTGACAACCTTGTGATTTGTTTGCGTGTCTAGCTGCGACATGTCTTGCTGCCAATTTCAGCAACATGTTCATCAAAGCAGCTGAGAAGTTCAGGGAGCAAAGCCATGCAACGGGAGTCCACATGGAAGCTCATCATTGGCAAGCGCTTTAATTATGACAAAAAGAAAGTGCATGCTGCACTTTCCTGTGTGAATGATTTCGCGCAGGACTCTTTGCATGACACAGGCTGCAATACCGCTAGATGCTAGACATGCTGGTTCCAAACTAAGCAGAACCCGTGCCCGACTGCATTTCAAGATCAAATGACCGTCATGTACAGTAGTTCTCGGATGCTCATGCAACTCCCTCCGTTGCGTAAGGTGGATGGGAATCTTTCTGGATTCCCAACTTGCAGTCGAGCAAGCACCCCCCAACGATTCCCAACACATGTTGCTTTGCGGAGCTTCTCCTCTTTTTTGACAACAAAGGTCAAAGAAGGATAGGTTTTGGAGAGTCCGCGCCCCACGCGTTCTTAAGCTTGAGCGCTCTGTGATACACCGTTGCTCCTCGAACTTGAAGCTCCGGAACAGAACAGGAACGCTGGGACATGGACCTGTCGTCCTTGCGGTACGGCTGCCAGACCCGACTGCAGCAGGATGGCCTGGAGACGGGGCAGCACAATACGTTTCAGTTGGGGATCTTGCAGAATGGAGTACTCCAAGCTATTCCACAAGCTCCCAGAACCAAGGCTTGCACAACTTCCATGGGGCCCAAAAGCGAGGTTCCTGAGAAACGCGGAGAAAGCGTTCGGGCTGAGAATTTGGCAAATTCAAGTTGCCAATGTAATCTGACAAGCCAACTCAAATGCTGGCTCTAATGGTGCAGGCGGTTTCCTACGAGCCATGAACCGAAAAAAACGTGATAGCCTTTGAGCTTCTTTCCTTCCTTCCTCACTGATAGCAGGCTTCAAGAGCTGCTGCATCTGACGTCCTTCAGCATTCCAGCGGCCAGCCGAGGCATGTACCCAAGTCAAACAGCTTCTGGGAGCCGTCCCTCAGCAATTGCATAATCTGATCTGATCAAGGGTGCCAGGCATGATTGACATTTGGGATCGTGCTTTCATCTGTTGCAGGGCTTAGAAGGTACGGGGCATGAAACATGGTTGTGAATGGGGTGCATTTTGCCTGCTTCGATTGGTTGCCACATGCTTCTGCGGCTGCTGCAGCTATTGCCTCCTGGTTGTGAGTGCTAGCATTGCAGCAGCTCAACACTGTGTCAGCGGCAAGCTTCTAGACAACGAAGGCGGATCATTTGGCCTCATCACACAAACCGGCATTGCATTGGATTTGCAGGAGACAAGTTTCAAGGAAGCGCGTGGTCAGCAAACACCTCCAGCTACTTCCGCGATGCGGAATAAGGCAGGGCTGTGTTCACAGCGCTGCAGACATCTTGCCTATGATGAAGCAAGAGTGCTGATGAAGCACGCCGGGGACGGCAACCCCAAACCCTAAAAAGCGTAGCTGCCAGCTTTCAGAATCAATGGAGCAGCTGCTAACTGTACAAGGGCTTTTTCAAATGTTTGTTCATTCAACGCCCTGAGAATAAGGAGCTTTTGTTGCCGAATCATGCTCCCCTCCTGCTAGCTCCAAGATTCAAAAGCTCCGCGATCAATTCAGCGGCTTCTTTTTTTGGCTGGACAAGCCATTTCTTTTGGTTGGATTCAGGCTTCCATGCCCTGGATGAGGGATGACAGGGGCTAGGCGGCTAGACCCTTCAATGACAATGCATCGAACCAAGCACCCCGCGTGGCTTTCGATGTAGAAGCGGCCTGTCGTGGTCCAAGCACTTTTTGTTTCGAAGCCCGGACTTTGTCACGCTTCAGCCACCATGGGATGCTGAGATGGATTCAATCCAAAACATGCAAACTTGAGGGCTCAGCAGCAAAAGCTAAGCATAGCAACGCCCGTGCCTGCGACTGGGCATAGCGTGCAGCGTTGGCACCTTCACAGCAAGATAAAGCAAGTGGGTCCCGACAACAAGATGGCTTGAAGTACTTACAGGCCAGGCATGGGTCTGCATTGTCGATGCCGGTCACCCTGGCCTAAAATCAAGAACCTAAAGAAAAACAACTCATGTAGGCTGTTTGTTGCTGGGGAGCGAAGGAGCAATTTTTGAAGTCCTGATGCTTCCCCCCACGGTTTTTGACTTTTTTTGGGACCCTCGATTTTGCGCGAGTTAGTGATTTTCCAGGAGGCCTCGACATGGGGCCAGTGCCGGGGAAATCCGGCAGTCGGCGCCATTATCAACCAGTGCAGAAAATATTTGCTTATTTGGGGATCCCTCAATTTTCCTGGAATTTGGATCTGGGTGGGGCAAGGCTGCTGGAGGAGACAATGGCACAC